TGATATATGGCTTGTTTCTAGAACATTCTCTTTACACACACACCAACATGCTGTTTAAATAAAAAATAGTTTATGATATTTGCAATTTGTAATGTGGTCTAGACCCATTTTGTCCTGCACATTTCCAGCTAAACCTTACAAAACAACATAATATCTTTTTGTTCTTCAATCTTCAAGAGAATTTGGCCATCTGTAACTTTTACATTTTTTGAAAGTGCCTTCTATCAGAAAAAAAGTGATGAACTCTTTCTTAAACATTCACCTTCTGATCTTGTCCAAGTGTTTTAAGAAAACCAAACATGCATTTCAAACAGTTATAACCTGCAATAGTAAAATTGAAAATGTCTTTATAATGGTTGCTTTCAAGTGACAAAGTTTAATAGTACAGAATAAGGACTCAAAGAAGTGATAGTTTTCCCTTTACCTATTTTCCCTATAGATATCATGGTGTATATGACATTTTGTTTTATAATTCAGATTTGTAAACTAAAAATATTATGTGAGGAGAGAGTACAAAACTAGCTAAATTGTGAGTTATTTTTTAACCTTTTCTAAAGACAAACTGGCAAAATTAGTTGTTATTCCATCTCTTATAATTAATGGAAATTATCAACTCCTTTTATGTTTTTTGTTTTGTCAATGTACAGGATCTTGCTCTTGCAACAGTTTGGGACGATCAGTTATCTTATTTCTTGTCACCAGCTTTGGCAGCCTACGAACTTGAACGCACAACAGGAATTTCTTCAGGAAATGAAGAATTTCAAGATATTATCAGGAGGGCTGTACCAGATGGTCATACATTCAAAGGATTTCCCATTCACTTTGTGTATAGAAATGCTAGGAGAGCATTTGCTGCATGTCTGCGGTAAAACTTGTTTCCTTTGTTTCAATATATTTTTTATCTAAGATACTGGTCTGATATCATCATTCTGTATAAGATATCCGATTCAATATCTGATCAAACCAAATAGAAAATTGGAGGGATCACAATGAAATTATGAAAGCCAGTTCAGTGCAGTGGTTAAGATACTGGGAGACTTGATTTCAACCAGGAGACATGACCAGGAGACTTGAACCAGGAGACTTGATTTCTATGCAACCCTTTGGCATGAAAGCTGACAGGGTAACTTTGGACCACATGCTAAACCTATTTCACAGGGTGGTTGTGGGGAAAATAGGAAGCAGAAGTATGAGGTTGCTGCCTTGAGTTATATATAAAAGAAACAGGATAAAAAATCTAATAACATTAGAGTAATGCAATATTCATAGCTAGCAGAAATAAAGTCAGTTTGGATGTACTTCCCCATAGGTAACAAGACTTTTGTGGGGGAATACCATCACCACTTGATATGGAAAATTTGTTTCATTTCTTGCTGAGGTTATTAAGAGCTTCAGAGTGATACCGAGTTTCCATTTTATTTAGACTTTTTATTAATAGTGAAATTGCTTTGATTACTTTGATATATGACCTGAACCAGGAAATTGAAAGTAAGCTTGCCAGTTCTCCTGACCCTGTCATTAGCTTTTGATATTATTGCCATAGTATGCTTTGGCACTATTGACAGGATATTTGCTTCCATTCCTCTATGCATGGTCTGAGTTCAGGAGAAGGTGTAGACAGTGGATAAGGCCAGAATCCAAACAACTGTCATTCTTGCTATTGCATTGAATATTAATTTATTGAACTAAAAAAAAATCTGATTGGCTATGCAAATCGTGTCAACAGCTGCAATTTGGCTTCTGGGAACCTGGTTTGAGTAATATAGATGATGGGCTGCTGCCACAAGATAGATCATAGCTCATAAAATCGATAAATGTGTTCAAAGCACAGTGAGCCTGGTTAGTAAGGCTTTAAATCATATGTGGAAGCATAATAATGTACACTATGATATGCAGATAAGCTAGTTAAATATGCTGGATGGGTTTATGATTTTTTTTCCTGGCTTGAAACACACTCAATCAAAAGATTAGAAAATGTGTCCTTTGAGAAGAGATTGAAGGAGTTGAGAATATGTTTAGCTTTGAGAAAAGACAACTGAGAGTGGAATATGAGAGCATTCTTCAAATATTTAATAGTATGTCACATAGAAGATTAAGATCTATTCTTTCTGGAGATTTAATGGATTACAGCTATGTGAAGGTATTTTTGAATGAGAGTTAAAAGAAACTTCCTAATGGAGAGAAGAACCAATTATCCAGAAACTCAGAAGGTTCTTTTTCATTGCTTTGTTCAAGCAGAGGCTAGTTGCCCAATTCATTTGAATTCTTCCCCAATCAGGAGGTTGAACTTGATGGCCTAAATGGCCCATTGCTTTCAAATCTTTTATTATATAATGTGATTCTAAACTAACTTGAATAAGTTAACCTTTTTGTGTAATAATTAGTATTCTCAACATATACTGTATGTGTTATTTCAAATTACAGTAATGCTTCATGTATCTGCTTCTTCAAATAGATCTCCTTTCTGTGAAGAAATTCTGTGCTGTAGAGGGGACCAAGTGAGACTTGCAGTTCGTGTCAGAGTATTCACATATCCTGAATCTGCGTGTGCTGTTTGGATCATGCTTGCTTGCAAATACCGTTGTGTACTTTAAGAAATTGTTTGCATATTTGGGTGAAATTGTGTGCTATTACATATAAACCTCAAAGAAAGTCAAATATTTGTGTGTGTTATGGATGCAGGCTATTCCTGGTCTCAAACCTGGTTAAATAGAATTCATTGGGATTGATTTTAATGGACTTAGTTTCTATGCCTACTTAGATGTATACACCAAAGAAACTATTTAAGGCTATGGAGGGTTGCCCTCGTGTTGGAGGGTATTGGCATTGCCATTCAGCTTCCTCGGCTTTCAAAGAACTACAGGAGGCAGTATGTGATGTCTGACATTTTAGGGTCTTTTTTTAAAAAAAAAACCAAAATAACACCTGGAATCACTACTTTGGGTCCAGTTTAAATTAAAGGAGGAATTGGAAATGATTGTTTTCTATATGCTAATTGTTCCCATCCTTAAAATCCTGGGGAAAAAAGGCAAACAGGCCGAGATTCAGCTCAAAAAAAGTGCTGATTTTTATTTTTTAGAGTTAACCTCTTTAGACGTTCCCCATTTCAACCCATTCTCTTCTGAATAAAAGCAGCATCAGTAACAAAAATCATGCCACTTAAATTCGAGCACATTGCCTCCAGATTTTGGCAGCAGAATCTTATCACTCCTGGTTTCAGGAGATTTTAAAGACAAATATGTGAATACAATATGGTGGGTCCCTAATAAAGGATACTGCTACGCTGTTAGAATTGATCTGTGTGATTTTATACTGTATATCATGACAGAAATTGTATAATGTATTTTATATATTTTATTGGAATAAAATCTGTGTTAATAATGAATTATTTGCAGAGGTTTAAATTGGTAAAAATCTAGATCAGGTTTCTAACAACACCCCCAACCCGAAATTAAAGCAGTAAAATGTAGAGAGTTTTTCTTTTGAAAACCCACTGAAGTGATAGGGAACGTCCTGTATAATCATATTGTAATACTGGAATGGCGAACCTATGGAGCCATTTGTCAGGGCATGCGAGGCATTGCCCCCGTCAGCTAGCCAGCGCGTATGCACATGCTGGCCAGCGGAGTTCAGCCTTTTTTTAAGTGACTTCCGGTTTGTCCGTTGGGGTATTTTTGTCCTCCGGAACCTCCAGGAGGAGTGGGAGGCTATTTCACTCTTCCCAGGCTCCTATAAAGCCTCTGGAGCCTGGGGAGGGTGAAAAAAGCATGCAAAAAAGGGGGGGTTGCGCCTGTCATGCACGCGTGCGCGCATGTCGCACATTGCATTATGGGTGCGGCAAGCCTGCGCATGAACCCCCTGCAGTCCCCCGCTTATGGCACGCGAGCCAAAAATGGTTCACCATCACTGTCGCAAAAATCAAATGGAGAAAAGATTGTCTATCCATAGGGGTTATGGACAATGGGTTTGTGATATGAATATGCATAGTTCCATTATAACTCAAGATCAGCTAATCTACAACTCAGATTTTGATTCTATATTGCAATTAAATATATCATTGTTTATGTTGTTGATATTCCTGAAAAATAAGACTAAGCCAATGCTTTTCATAAATAGCTTTAAGCCAGTCTTCAGCCTGCTCGTGGAAATATTGCGTGCCTACTTATATTAGTTATGCATTTCATAATTTAGTAAATATATTAATAATCATAGTGAATAATAGTTCCAGAGCCCAAGGAAGGAAGCACTCAGATTAAGAGATCTTCAGTAGCCGATTGAGTAGGTTTTATTGCCTATGCTGCCTGTTTCTTCATATAGGTTGTGTTCATACAACTCACTGAACCATAAATTAACTACTTATATTCCAGTCCAACATGTTTTTTATAAATCTAGATCATGAGAATAATTTACACTTAGTATGCTATGAAAATTCAGAAATATGTTGAGTGAACTACTAATTAGGTTAATTTTAGGTAAAGACTGTATGGACAGAGCTATGGATTTGGCCGTGACCCGTCAAAACCACGCTCAACTAAACCACGCCCGATTAAACCGCGTCGCTGATGTCATCAACAGGGCGACAACAGCCAGCGCGGAGAAAGAAGGG